AATGCGAACGAATTGATTATATATGAATCAAATTCAAACATTTATTATTTTCATTAAAAATGTGTAAATTTAAATACTTTCACTATTTGCGGTTTGGGCCGCATTTTAAAGACTTTTGGGCAGCACTTTAGACAACCATATGCTATACGATGATTATATAAAAGTTTGGATAGTTGTAGTATAACATATGGGTTTAAAGTTTAATTGCCTCCAAAGAGCCGTGTCTTAAAACAGAAGAGTAATGCTAGTCTTAGCAACTAAACGTACTACGTTACGCGAAATCTCCCACCAGCTAGGGCGAAACATATTTCGACATTCGACTAAATACACGCAACATGTAGACCTAATGATCTGAGGACTATAAATAATGGTAAAGTAGTAGATCTGTGTTTTTACCAACCTTTTTTTTTTTTTTTGGTTTAATCAAAACGTTTAGAAACTATAAAAGCTTAATGCTTTCCTGCGAATCCACAAATATATTCCAAAATAACCAAAAATCCAATCCAAGACTAACGGCACCAAACATAAATATATATTACACACAGATATATATAATATATATATATAATTATATAAAATAAATATATAAAAAGATAAATATATATATATAGAATAATATATAAAATTATTATATATATAATATACAAATATTATAATAATATAAAATATAATATATATATATATATATATATATAATATAATATATATGATATATAAAATATATATAAAATACAACTTAAATAAATATATATAAAATATTATATATATATACACTGAAAATTTGGTCTTTTTGTCTGTTTGATGAATTGCTTAATTTTGCGTAAAAACTCTAATTTTTATTATAAAAATTATTTTAGTTGTTTTTAACTGTATTTGGTGTTTTAGGTTTTTTGTATATTTTACACTTTTTAATAAAGATTGAGATTTTAGGAATTTTTTGCCTTGCCGGGAAGTGAGAATTAAATTGATTGGTCGATAAATATATCTTTGATAGAATTCGAGGAAATATGTTTAAATGAAATGCGGTTAAAATTGTATCTAGTTTAATAGGCCGTACAAAGACGACATGGGGTGTCCACATCAGATATTTATTTCCAAAAGCAACACATGCTAGTGAAACTTTGATTACCGTTACACTGTTTACCAGTTTTCCGATAGAATACGAGTAAATAAAATCTTTCCATACAAGTCATTCTCATGCATAGACCCTGTTCGTGTCTACCGTGACATGTTGATCGTCTTTGAAAACGGGTTTACAATTTTTCTGCTGGTGCAATGTTTATAAAATTGTACAATCACACAAAAGAATTTGCGTTAAGAATTATCGTAAGTTATGTACAATTTTTTTAATAATTTTCTCTTCTGTGGCGATTTCCTTTCTTAATAAAAGGACATCTAATTCTGAGACATAAATAAGCATTTCTCATTTTATCGCTCGAAGACATTTTTAAACCTTATACCATGAGCTTTTAAGATGATATATATACAGAAAGAATCTGAAAAAGTGGGAAAAACTTTAGGGGGTGATATAAGGCAGCTACGTGAGCAATATTCATCATAGAATGTATGGTCGGATTGATAGCGGTGAGAAGTTAAAGAATAATTTTCTACTGTCACATTTAAAGGATTAACACAAGAATGTGAGGAGATACTTCAGAAAACATTTTATTAACAGAACATGCTCATAGAAATTGCTCTAAAGACTTTCCACCAGCTGTAATGCAGGCTTCAGACCTGCAGGATAGGGACTGAAGTACAATTGCGAAGACACCAGGCATTTCTCTAATATCACCGGCAACAACAACGATCCTGGCGGTTTCAGATCCATATCGGTTTCAACGGGACACTCGTAGATTAGGTTTTTCGTATTGCTCCACAGGAAAAAGTCCAAAGAAGAGGGTTCCGGTGATCTTGGTAGCCAAGTTATGGGACCACTTCGACCAATCCATCGCCCTGGAAATTTCGTGGTTCGCTTAACCAGCAATCCTCTCGGCAATCCACGGCAGAAAATGCCGATGGGTACTCGTATAACTGCCTTCTGTCACCCCCTAAAGGTTTTGCCACTTGTTCAGATGCACCCTGTATGCATATATCTATACACTAAACACATATTCTTTTTATTTTGTAATTGTTTAAAACTTCATCAAAAGAATTTAACTGAGCGTAAATTTCAAGCGTGTTTTAAAGTTTACTTAAAATCATTAAAACGAAAACCACAGTTCTTAAATGCATATACAGGCATCTTATCTAAGCGACATGTGTAATAAAAAATTGCACTGTACAATGGGTATTTAAGATGAAAAAAAAAAAAAAAAAAAAAGAATTTGGGGTGAATTTGTTTTTTCTGTTATACATGAATGTATAAAATTAGGAAAACTTTTTTCTGCTAGTTAGTTACTTTGCAAGGATTATGTTAATTTTATTAACAGTTAAATTTTAAAAGTTCCTTTCCTGTCAAATTCTTAACCTCAATTTACTACTTTCGGCCAGAACATATTTTTGGAATCACTCTGAATACTTAATGAGGAGGAGCAGTATTTAAACCGCGAAGTCTACTTGCTGAGTTAGAGAGAATCAGAGTTTCTGATTTGCGCGCGTCTGCCTCTTGGCCACTCTCTCTCTCAAAGCTGTTATTACGCTCGGCCGTACTCAGGCCCTTGATAAGCTTCGTAGTCAAATAAAGTTAAGGGGACAACTCGGTTAGAATGTTGATAGCTTCGGCTATATCTCTTTAGTTAATCTTAGGAACGGGATTTAAATCTTTATTTCCTAGTCTCTTAAGTTCAAGCCCAAGTGTCGGCTTTTATTGCACACTCCAAGACAGAGTTTTGTTAAATCTTATTGCAATAATAAAGGGTTAGTTACCCTTCCATCTTGTTGTTTCTTGTTACACGAACTTAAGCGATTATTTGCTAACGTGTTCTTAAGATTCGTCACTTTCTACAGTAACTGAGAAATACACTAACTAGTGAGAATCTTACAACTTAATTGATACAATGTTACTTGAGAATTACCTCTGCCTAAAACAAAAGACGCTTTCGTGGAGGACATTTTAAGGAAAATTAGCTAATATTTAAGATGTATATGGAGAAGGTTCATTATAAAATGCCTATCCATCCCACCCGCTCACCGAGTTATAATCCTGGCTCGAATAATTAGTATTCTACCTTCCTATCCAGTTTATTACTAGCGGGTCTAAATTTTTAACATATTATTCTTATGCTTATTAAATTATGATGACTGGCCGTTATAACTGTGTTTGGAAATACGACTGTAGAACCATTTTGCTGTTACCCCAAATTCAAATTCAAGAGAGCTATCCGACCAAAGAATGCTTTCGTGGAGGACCTTTTTAAGAGAAACCTGAGACATATTCACTTTAGACATGTACAAAATTACGAAAGCATCCACCCCACCAGTCTATTTGCTAGTATTTTGAGTATGAACCGAACCGAACCGAACTTGCTCAATTAGCTACTAGAGGGTTTGGTCACCAGAAAATGATATAGTGTCCTAGTTCTTCAAATCCTGAACTGTTTTTGTGCTGCCAGCATTTTAGTGGCCAATTCCTAGTTCAGAAAAGCATGCTTCGTCACTCGGTTTCATTAATTTCTACTGGACTGCTCTTTGTCGTAAATGACTAAGTAAACTTTACGCATTCCTTTAGTAAATTCACTCCTTTTCTTGGTTTTGTTTTTAAAGATTTTGATGCAGACGATATAAAAAGCGTAATAAAGTGCAATTTCATCCACTCTCACAAGCATAATTTGTGAAGATTTTGAATTTATCTATAAGTACTGAAACATTTTATTTCATGGATACACAGCGAGCACTTTTGTTCTAGGAAAAAGTTGTGAAAGTCACCGAATTACTGTTCTTATAAATCACAGTTATGATTACTTCTTTGTCTTATTATAAAACTTTCTATTTAGCATTTATAAACATCAAAATAAAATATGCGTTTTGCATGGCAAATATAACTATTCGAAACGTCTCGTTTATTGATAAAGAAATTTAACATAAAATACATGAATTATTTACCTATGCCTAACGCTCACCAGTAGCCAAACGGTAAGATTGTTCAGTTCAAGCTCCTGCAAATGAGCTGGATGCATGGGAGATTTCATGTTTATTTGCATAAGTAATGGGAATATGAGCCAGCTTCCCTTCGAAATGTATCCACGAAATCATCCTTTTCTTTAGACAGGTTACTCTAGTGTGACTTGCCGTGATCAAACAGTTCTAATAGAAACCCAGTACGTTGCATAAAAGGAAAGTATTAATGCATATTTCAGCTTTTTAATACATTACTAACTGTAAATCAAAACTTGAAAAATCAGTCATTAATTCTGAAATACCTATTTTATGTAAATGTAAATGAAAAATATATAATTTAAAATAGAAGAATAAAAGCAATATCGAATACAAAATTAATATGTAGATACGCTATCATACATTTAACATTTATTTAGTTTCAGAAAAATTTTTGTTTTGTAAATAATGCAATAAAGAAGCTTTTAAACCCCGATTTAAAATAAATTTCGTTGGAAATAAATCAGATTGATTAGTTTCAAAAACAAATATCTGTTAATAACTTTCGCAAATTTCCCAGTCTTTTCTCGGTTATTTGTTTCCATATCGAAAATGCTGCATTTTATGATAAGCATAAAATAACCGAAAATTAGGTGCTTTTTCATTTTTGTACTTTTAATTTTCATTAGCACTAGAATGGAAAGACACGTTTTCTATGCTCCATCCCTTGACGAAAATGAGTTCCACCAGGGTAATAACCCACCATCACACAACGCATTAATATCCACGAGCAGTCACCTAAAGAGAACCTTCACGAAAATAAACGAGAGCATTTGCTCATCGCGCATATGTTTTAAGAGGGTGAGATCACGTGAGAGTTTAATCCTCAAAGTCGCCTTAGTGTCTTCGCTTATCTGCGTGGACGCTAGATAGTTTGGGATGAGAGAAGGACATTAGCAAGGGCTTACGACTTCGATGAGCTGCGACAGCTTGAGCTTGATGGAGACCGTCAGGGCCTCCGAAACATTGATCACCGGACGCACCAATTTGTTGTACCTGGAGATGAGGTCATCATACAGCCGCTTGGCATCCGGGTTCCCCTCTGAAAAGAAATGAAGAAAGATTATATCGATTAAACATTATATGCGCAAAAAATGTTATAAAGATACTTTTATTTCGCGATTAAAATAAAAGTTAAAGAAATTTTCAATCCGTATGGCATGAATAATACCACTGAAGATAAAAAATAAGCAATGATAGATAATGATGATTTTTTTTTAGTACTTAAGGATGTGCTAGAAAGGTACAAATATAAAGTAATAGAAAAAGTACAAACAACAGAAGAAAGATGCATTATTAAATTATTGTTATGCATTTTATACTTAGATAGGTGATTTTAGTAGAATTGTAAGTAAGATTTTTGTATTTCTTTTGCAGCATGAAAAATCTAAAGAGAAGCTATGCCGGAAAGGTAAGAATGCAGTGGAAAGTCTAATATTTAGCATTGAGTCAATGGGTACCTTATACTCTAGCATACAAAGTTCTAACAAAATCATTTTGTCACCACTGAATTAATTCAAACAGACTAGCACTTGATACCTATATATATTCAAATTAATGGATTCGGGGGCTTCTTTTCATATCTGAATTGATTTCATACTAGAACTCTCTCTTTAATCTAAGGGATATTTAAAAAAGGAATGTCTTGGTGGTCCTTCTTTTAAATTTAATTAAAATTTTGTTGAAATTTTATAAAGTTTTTAAGAATGGTATGAATTAATACCATGCTAATATTAAGCATATTAGCATATTGCTTAATATTAGACAATTTGGATAATTTAAGCGAATTGATTCAGAAAATTTAATTCGATCATTTAACTTCACGATATACAATCACGAAGTAGTGAGGCTTTTGCTTCTCTGTAAGTTTGCTCTAATGTTTCTTCTCTTCTGTCCCATTAATTTGCAAGGATTTATTTATTTTTATTTAACGAGTTATTTTATTTTTAAGTATCTTCACTGTTATTCTCCCTTTCCGTTTTCTTGCCAGAATGTTAATTTGTATTTCTCGCTTATTGAAATGAGGTAGAAAGAGACAGCAGAGAAAGAGAGAGTTTTAGATTGTGTAATCAGAGCATGTTCCGGCTACTAAAAGCCAAGTTACTAGTTGCAGCTCTACGATAGCAGCTTCTCTTCGGCGTTGCGTAATTCTTGCCCTAGGTGTTTCTCACACCGGTATAGGTTTGAGCCAACATGCGCGTTAATCATTTCAGCGTATCCTTTGGGCTAGCTTAAGATTTAACTTAGTTTTAAATTTGAATTCCTTATCTTTTGAGTTACACAATAAATACTGGCTGGTTTGTAAGCGCAAGATGTTAAATTGTTTTGAGTTCTGAATTAAATTATCTTTTGCATTCCTCTTGCGTTCACTGTCTTCTTACTGGACATAGCAGTAAGACGCTAAATATCCAGTTTGACTATCGAATCCTGCTTGCTAAGGATATAAGGTATTTCTCCCACTTCCCTAGCGTGCCTTCGTGGTGTAACGGTAGCACGCTGGGCCGGTATTCCAGACGTCCGTGGTTCGATTCCCGGCGAAGGCGGTTGCATATTTTTCATCTTTTCTGCTTCCAATTAACCTAATGACTACAAGTGGCGCCCGAACTAAAAGGGTCGTGGATGATGATTCTCCGCACACAGGATTTGGCGACTAGGTTCCTTAAAACCTTAGTCGCCCTAGGGGGCGTATGTCCCGCACTTTCACTACTTTAAATGTGTCTCAAGAAATTTCAGCAAACTATGGAGATTTAAAACTTACTCCTTAAAATGGATTAGGAAGTGCAAGACCCTGTCGATTTGTTTTTCTTAAAATAAGCGACTAAATGGCAATAATACGTTCGAATTTGGCCCCTATAGCCCAAGGAAAAAGGATAAGAAGGGGAGTATATAAGATATTTCTCCCCCTTCCCTAGCGTGCCTTCGTAGTGTAACGGTAGCACGCTGGGCCGGTATTCCAGAGGTCCGTGGTTCGATTCCCGGCGAAGGCGGTTGCATATTACAATCGCTTTGAAGCTAAAAATCTGCTTGCGATTTATAGATAAGACACACTAACGATATGCAATGAATAAATATTTCAATAATCTGCTTGTAGAGACTTGTAGGTATTTTTTGGAAGCAGGCAAGATCAAAAATTAGCAACGCCTTCGCCGGGAATCGAACCGCGGACCTCTGGATACGCGCCCAGCGTGCATGTCAAGAACCACGAAGGCATGTCAAGAAGAGAAATACTTTATATGCTTATAATGAATGCTTTAAATAATGGGGGAGGGAAAGGATAATTTCATGAAATTTTTCTGAATAAGGCAAAACCTTCCTTCTTTAGTTGAGACATTTAATGGCCTTTGGCATCTACATATTAGTTTTCCAATTTACCTTGTTAAAATACGATTACGTATTTACTCATACTCATACTTCGGCAATCATTACTCTCAAATATGAGTTAATATTATCTTACCCCAGCTTCTTGGTATTTACGTCACCTTCTCTAAAGATCAGTTGGAAATTCAAAGCAATGTTATTTACTAGTTGACATAGTAAATGTCCACGATGCCCATCTCGCAATTTATGCCCATGTCATATAACGACCTTTTGTCCACATTTCAAATACAGATTAGGTAAGCTATCCAATCTCAGCATTTCAAATGGAACTTGGGTAAGCTAGGAAGTCATTTGTCAGGCTTGTAATTCACCTCTTTCTCCGAAAGGCCGAAATGAATATCACAAAATTTATTGGCGTTTTGTTGATTGGAGGTTGGGTCCAACATTAATAAAGTTTATCTCGTTAAAACGAACATATTTATCGAGTTCCTAGAGACAATTGTTTAGATTATATTTTGGATTCTAAATTGCTTAGAAACGCATGTTGCTTTAAAATCTAATCTTTAGAGAAAAATATTCCACCATTTTTGGTGCCTGTTATTGGAGATGAGACGTACGATAGCATCTACTTCTCTAGTTTCAGAAGGTATTAACAAATGCATAATGGAAGAGCCCTGTTGCACAATTTGACTTTGTCACAGTCACGAACACTTTGGCTAGTTCATTATTCATAGCTGAATCAAATTACTTTACATACATTTAAGCTTCCTAACATGTAACTGAAATTCGAAATGCGGCTTAATATCATTAGGATTTTAAAGCTTATCGGGACTAAATTCAGCAGAATGAATTCGGTCTATGGCCAGCATTTTATTTTAGCGAATGTTAACTTTCAAAAGAAATGATTTAAATTTCGAATCTGGCAATAAGATAATAAGAGCATTTCCCTCACCTGCTCTTGCAATTGCAATTGTCTATATGAAAATTCTTTAATATGAACGTTCTGAATTCGACTTCAACAAATGGAAGGCTAATTTGAAAAGATTCTTGAATCATATTACTCTGCATCTAGTGCCACAGTTTAAAATGATAGATTAAAATATGTCAGCAACTTTAAAATCAGTAATTGAGGATTGTTAATTCTTCTACAGTCATGTAGGTCGGTGAAGCCAGAAATCTCGTGTTTTTCCCTCGGACTCTTATTATGCAATCATCAGTATATAGATCAAATAATTCGAAGCTCTCGAGTTCGACTTAAGGTAAACGCGCAGATAGTATTTCGAAGATTTCTTCAAGTGTCGTCTTTAGTAACACCATAACTTTTTTAATAGTAGAAATAACTTTTTAATTAAAGTAGTTTGAAAGATAATTTATTTACTATACACTTGCATTTATTTTTCTGTTTTAGCAACATTACTTTATTAACTTGCTTTCATTATAATGGGCATAAAAGATTTAAGTGAAAAAGTTGACACATGTCTTTCGCTTAGTAGTTAAATCATAAAATTGACGTTCTTTGTATTCAAGAATCCTAAAAAGTTAATAAAATGTTTACTCTTCTATCAACCTGATACAAAGTCTGATGTCTACTTTTTATTTTAATGACTTTTTACTTTTTATTTTAAACCTTTCAGGAAGAGCGTTCCATATACGCATTCCCTAAAAACGTCTCTTACAGCCGGGCGTCCCATCCACGCATCACTAGAGATTGCACTCAGAGGACGGGTGATGCTTGTATGTGTATACGCATTTTAAACTGGAATGCTTTTCTGAAGGTCACTAGATGGCATCCTATGAAACCTGTGAAATCCTATGAAAGGAAAACAGTTTTAGGTTCCTGATCTTGAGTTTGATATATTCTGCTTGACTTTGGTATTTTACTCATCAGCTCTTGCGAGGGTGGGGAAGGAGGGAAAGTGTAAACAGAGGTGAGCTCTTTAAATCGCTGCGTGCTAATGAAAACATTATCGTATCTGATTTTATATCTAATTCCTTTTTTTATTCTATTTTTTCCTCTACTATGTACGGTCTTTTAGGGTTACTGTGCAGAGTTTTTTTACGTTTTGCATTGCCTTTAGATATATTTCTGTTCCTTCTTTTTTTATTTAGGAAAGCCTCACCTCCAGTATATTATGGCGGGAAGGCGCTATTTATCAGAGGAAGAATACCCTCGTATGGTTAGTGAACCATTTAAGTAACGCAAATGAGAATACTGATTCATTTTTCTAAAGAGTTAAAAAGTGATACTTTTTCTAACAGTTACAAAGTGATACTTCTCTGTGCTTCGAGATTTACCACACTCGTTTTCATTTTAAATTTTGTTAATTCTTACTGTAAATAGTCTTTATTGTGTTCTTTTTATTAATTTTAAACTTTATTGATGGATTTTATCAATTAAAACTTTGTAATAATTTGAATAGCGCTTCCGAAAATTCTTTTACAAGATAAGCAATTTTTTAAGTCTATTTTCATGCAAAATAAAGAAAAAAAAAGTTCTTAAGTGCTAATTTTAACATATATAAGAACTCAAGTAATAATCTAAAATGATACCAAAAATGACGATGCTAGAAGCGAAACGTTTTTCCTCTGATTTATTTATTTATTTATTTTTTTTTTATAAAATTAGGCTTAGCAATGCAAAACCTACGTTTTGCACGGTGACTGCCTTCGATTCCCTTCCGTCCCGCACGAGCGTCTTAAACAAAGGTGCGCCGTCGCGAAAAGGTTATTGTTTAACTTTTTTTTTTTTT